CACGGGCACTTTTCAATAATTTCCATACTTAGCCCCAAATTTTCAACTCCTCATCAAATTTTCAATCAAATCTCGACCTCGAAACCCATTTTCACCCTCGAAAATCACGCGTGTCGTGCAGCTCATGGAGCTATTTATTATCGAACAAAAACAAAAAACCGAAAAATGCTAAAACCGTGGGTTGCCTCCCACGAAGTGCTCAATTTATTGTCTTGAGCTCGACATTCCCAACAAAAATCAACCGGGACCTAGGAAAAAGTGTCGATCATGCCACGCCTTTGTATTTTCCAAGAGAAGCCGATCCGGTAGCATGGAACAAAGGCGGGCAAGATAAGCTCTCGTGGCCGCATTCTTGTGAAACCGAGCACGGATATGAACAACCACCAATAGGAGAAATGAATCCTTACGAACCGGGGCCCCATACTCGACCTCCGAAAAAATAAGAATATCCGTGGAGCACGTCGAATCAATCCCGGGCATCGTTTGCACTATCTCAAACGTGTACTCATCAAGCTCAAGCATCGAGAGCACGAGCGTAGGCACACTAAACTCCTCCATATGATCACGATCCTCAATAATACGAAACGACGCCCCAAAGGACATGGGAACCACATCATACTCAATATCACAAGTCGGCTCATCAATCAACACACACCTCGGGTCAACGACATCACATAATAGCTCGGAATCCTCCTCAACAACGTCCACAAAATCATCAACTACTACATTCTCCTCCTCAATATCATCCTCCCGAGAACTATCAACATCGTTCGGCACAATCGAATCCTCAAATGAATTCTCTCTCATCTCGTACACCATATCAACATCCGACTCCATAAACTCACCCTCAACTATAGAATCAAAGCTCAAAACAGTATCACCGGAAGAGGAGTTTGACTTACCTAATGTAGAATGCACGGCCGAATCGTCAAAAGAGGGAATTTCTTTAATTATCAACTCGTCGATGTCCTCACTCGTGTCGAGAGATTGTGTTCCATCATAAACGAGAGTGAGGCCCACCTCTTTCAAGGAGGCAAACCTATCCACCATAGCTCGAAACTCGCCTTCTAACCGGGTGCTCTCTCGAATAACCCTCGCCGATAGAGAACAATATCTACCGAGCGGAATGTGAGATGCGTCCAAATCAAGGAAAGAGACCACGGTAGCGTCGAACTTCGTGAGTGTGAGTTGAAGAACGGATGGAATGGGAATGCACTTCCAACTATGAAACTCCTCAACGATCGACATAAGGCTCGCGAGTGCCTCTTGAGTGCTCGTCAAAACCTTTTGGTGACATTCGGAAGGCGCAACCGTGGTTGGAAATGAAGCTTCGGAGCTTAATGTGTAAGATTGGCCAACCGATGGGTGCTCCAATGGTAGAGAGGGTGTAGCAAGGGACTCGGTATCATCTTTTTCGGGCATGGGATCCATTGAAGCACGAAGGGATCGATTGCACTTCTCTAAGTGCTCCATAATCTCGGCTATATTGACTCGGGAAGATTCTCGAGTCGGCTCGGGTGGAGATGTCGCATCATAAGAATCGGGAAGCGGTGGATAATAGCGAGGCGTCTCGTCGTAACCCGGAGAGTAATAACCAAAATCGGCATGAGATGTCGGTAAAAAGTGGCTCGAGTACGGATAAGGCGGCCCTCCATACGAATACATCTCCTCATGATAGTTGCTCGGGCATCCACGAGACGAGCTACCGGCATAAGCATAGCCATACGGATCCATCAGTGCTCCTCAAGCGAAATACCTCGCACAAGAACAACAAAACAACCAAGGCACACGAGGCAAGAGAGGAAGTAACAAAAGGCGAAACTAAAAACACATAATATTTACACGGGCACGAAAGCAAAAGCAAGAGAAATGGAAAATAAGCAAATAATCAAGAGAAACACGCAAAAACAAACAAAATCCACAAAAAGCAAGAGAAACACGGAAACAAACAACAACTAGATAGTAAAATTGGCGTCCTACTCGCCCTCCCCGGCAACGGCGCCATTTTGTTTGTAGTATTTTTAGGCATGTGGTAACCGAGCTACCCCACTCGAGTCGTTCTCAAAGGAAGGCTGTTCGGAGCTTCGTTCACTATCTAGTTGTCAAATCACACAACCGAAAACGTCCTAAACATGCTAATCGCTTGAATTGAGGGTTGATTTAAGCTAAGCTAATCTACAAAATTGAAGTCGAAAGCAAATAAATCACGTAAGAAGATTAGAGAAATCAAGGGGGAAAGAGAGATTTTGGTTTGTCGGAGTCTCCATGATCAATCACACGCAAATAACCGAACATTGTCATGCTAGCTAAAACCCTAGGAAGCTAAACCAAGCTCTAGCACAAAACGAGCAAGCATTTAACTCCTAATCACACTTAGTCAAGCATTCTCGATCCAAAGATTCAATCTTTTCCTCCAACCAACACAAGCACAATATCAATTTTCACGAAAGCAAACAAAGATATACGAAGTAATGAGGCTTAAGACTAAGTACCCACTCCTACACGCACTTGGAAGAAGAAACGGAGTCAAAAGCTCGAAACTTTACTCGAAACAATGTCGCCGGAAATTCGCCGGAAAACTTGATTCATAAGCTCCAAACCAAAATATAAAAAAGGAAAAAAGAAAATAGAGAGGAATTCCCAACTTAAAAGTTGGGAAATGAGGGTTGTGTTCAAAAATACAAAGCAAGATGTCTTTATATAGCTACACCACAAAACACACACTAAAACACGCACATTTACTAAAACACTCTCGAGCTAGCCATGAAATCCGCGAGCTCGAGAGTGTGGTTTGGGCATTGGCAGCACGGGGCGTGCGGGTGCGCGGGCGTGCGGGCGTGCGGGCGCGCAGCAGGGCACACTCTCGACCTCGTGGAAGTTGCGGCGAGCTCGCGGGCTTGGAGTGGAGAGCACTCTCGACCTCGCGGAAGTTGCGGAGAGCTCGCGGGCTTGGAGTGGAGAGCACTCTCGACCTCGCGGAAGTTGCGGCGAGCTCGCGGGCTTGGGCGCGTGCGTAGGAATGGTCCCAGTGACCTGTTGATGCTCGATTTGCTCTAACTTTTCGCACACAACTCCGATTCGCACGAAATTTGGACCAAAATTCTGATCATTGAATTCTCTTCGTCTCGGTATGGCTTGGTCGGATTTTCTGGGTTGGACGGCTCGGTCGGCTCAGACGGCTCGTCTCCTCGTCTCGACAAGTTGGATCTATTCAACACCAAAACAAAAGAGAAAACGCGCAAAAATACGAAAACACTATACAATAACAAAAATACACAAAACACGATAAAATAGACCGGTCGACACTAAAACGAGCCTAAAAACTATAAAATAAAGCACAACAAACACACGAAAATAACGACAAAAACACAATAAACAGACATCGGCAAATATACCATTCAGCAGTGACACCACATTCGCCCTACATTCATATTATATGCATTTCAAGTGGAAAGACGGACGAAAGACAATGAAACAAAGAGCACACGTAGAATTTGACTTCGAATCAGCCCTTCTTTTCGGTATATGGCACATCTCCTTCTTGTGTTCGGCCGAGGGGATGGCATCTCCTTCGAATCAGCCATTCAAAGTTGTAACCTGCAAGTTTGAACTATTTAAAAGATTATATATTTTTTTTAATAGTTTTGAGCTGGTTTTGTAGTAACTCAGCTTCTCACCAGGCATACCAGTCACCAGGCCAGCTCATTACTCAGCCTGACGTGCTTTTCCGACCAAACCCCATTCTTAAGTTGTCCCTAGTGTTTGGTCGAATTACCAAAATAGTCTTCCCTAATAAAGCTCTCTGGCCACTGTTCATTATATTCACCTTAAAATATCACTCTTTTTTTGGTAAGCTTCACAAATCATGCACTCAAACTACCTGATGCCGGCCTCCGTGCTCTTACAAATTGCGGCAATACCACCGCCACGTGAGGAGCTCGGGTGCGACCGTCTTTATTGGGGACCTTCATCTACCGGCAAATTCTCTACGAGATCTGCCTATGATTTCTTGGACGATGTGGGTGGTTCGGTCCCAGGCCCAGGGCCTTTATGGCGGGCTGTTTGGCAGTGGCCGGGCCTCCAAAGAATACGTAATTTCCTTTGGCTCTTGGCAAAGAATCGCCTACTCACTAACGTTGAACGGATGAGAAGACATTTGACCCCAGAGGCGTGCTATGAGCTGTGTAGACAAGCAGACGAATCGACCGTTCATGTATGCTGGGACTGTCCGTTAGCGGCAGAAATCTGGAGACACCTGCTACCACGGTCAGTTCACATTGAATTTTTCTCATTAAGCTTGGAGGAATGGCTGTTTTCGAATTTAGTGAACCCGGTTAAATTTGGGGACGCCAACTGGACGCAGACATTTGGAGTAGTTGTGTGGAAAATTTGGGGCTGGCGAAACGAGCATCTATTCCAAGGCAAGTAGCGTGAAGTCGCGGGCAGGCTGCATGAAATATCCGCTTACATTGAGGGCTTGGTCAGGGTAATCGAGGGGGCCCGCAGGTTTGGAGAAACGGATAGAGCAAGAACTCTGCAATGGATAGCTTGGGAGCGTCCTCAGCCGGGGTGGATCAAAATAAATTCCAATGGCTCGTTTAATCCGACGACGGGAATGGGGCATGCGGGAGGACTGTTACGCGACGAGCAAGGACATTGGCTTGGGGGATTCACGATGAATATAGGCACTTGCTCGATTATGGCGGCAGAATTGTGGGGACTTTTCTGAGGTTTATCCCTTGCATGGGAATTGGGATTTCGGCATGTAGAAGCCGAAGTGGATAATGCAAGTGTAGTGGCTGTTGCTAAGTCACTCGATGATGCCCGGGAGTGCATCTAGGATTAGTGTCTGGAATAAAGGAACTCCTTGTTAGAGTAGTATACCCGGCGTTCCAATTTGATTGGACGTATTCTACTTGTAAATACAATCTATTGGAATTATATTAATTAAAAGGCATTACTTTATCTTAAGAGTAAGCATTTATCATATAATTGTACTTAAGATAAAATCCCTAGATCACATATGTTATAAGGTATGGTTGCGCATAGAGATGGTGATCATGGAACATACCTTGAAAGCAGTGATCTTAAATAAAGTTTCAATTCGATGGATGTTTCGAGATGGGATATCGAATAATCCATAAAAGAATTGCACATAGTATGTATGCTTGTTGGACAAGAATGTTGCATTCCATCAACATTAGCGTGGGACGCAAGTACATATATGTGAGTGCTTGTTAGAGAACAAGTTCACTGAACATGACCGTATGAAAATACTTAATGAAAGATTTGTCTTGCTGAATAAGTATTTTCATGTTACAATAGTACATGATTGGTCCTTAGACTTGAGGCACAATGGTAACTTTGTGCATATTATATTTTACTTTGATTTATCCTTTTGATTGCTAGCACAATCGTATAAATGGATATTTTGGGTATTATATTAATATGTATGGAAGTTTGTTAATGGCCAACAAAGGATTCGACACTTATGAAGATAAGTGAATTTCCTATGTGTTTCATAGTTAGTAATTCAAAGTCCTTGGCCAAGGCGGGATGAATAGAGATTCATAAACGAATTACTAAACATGAAATAGAATCATAGTTATTAAATCAATTTGGGTTTCGACTAAAATCATACCCAAGATTTAATCGAGAAATTGGATGTCGAAAGGATTTTACATGTACGTAGTTGTAATTGAAATAGGTTTACTCGCTATTCACTTAATACTAGATTCATGCTACTTGCTAGATGTTCCCATGATATGTGGGTTCTTGAATTAAAGAGTTAATTCATGAATAAGAGTTAATAAGATTAACTCAAATTACAAAGAGTTGTAAACCCACTACTTGTATTAATTGTGAACCTAAAAGGTCACACCAATTTTTGAATGAAGGTAAAATTCAAATAGTAATTCTAAAGAATTAGAATTAATTGACTAATCTAATTTGATTAGATGTCAATTAAAGGAATATATTAAATTAATCAATTGGATTGATTAATTGAATTTTGGATATTAATTTAGTAATTAATGGAATTACTAATTAATAGTTGAAATTTAAAATTGGATTTTAAATTTCAAATCCAAATAATAATATGATTATTAAATAAGAAAATTGGAAGAAATGATTAAAATAATAAAGTCTTGAAAAATATTTTCAAGAATTATTATTTTATTTTTTTATTATTTTATCTTTAATATATTTAAAGATTGAAATAATTGAGGAGACAAAATAATGGTGGTTGATGGTGGTTAAGAACCACTCCACATTATTTATTAAAAGTCAATATTTGGTATGGATTTTTAAATAAAATCTGATTTTATTTAAAAATAATTTATTATCAAATATTGATTATTTTATGCTAAAATGTTTAGTATAAATAGGTGCAAAATGTTTGCACAAAATTTGCTAAGTCTTGAGCATAATTTTTTCTTAGAGAGAACATTCAAAGAGTTGAGTGATTACACAAGAAAGAGTTCTTGTAAAATTTTTTTGTAATTATATTCCTTATTTATTTGATAAACCGAGAAGTTTCTACTAGCGAAGAAGCTTTCGTCGGAACCGGAATTCAAAAGGTGGATACGCTTAGAGGGAAGACAATTGGATTCTTAAAGCGAGTAACCACAAGCTCAAGAAGTGAAGTGACGTTACCAAACCGGAAACCGATTTCCTCATCCATCTACAAGTTTTGAAGGAGTTCAAGAACTAAGGTAATTTTCGAAATTACTTACAACAAATCAAAATTTGTATTATTACATGTTTTTAAAGATGACGATCTGTTAATTTGTCATATGTATGTACCAGTTATGTATTTAATTGTTAAATACATGATTTAAAATTATTTAAAATCCGCTGCGTATAGCTCGTACGGTACAGGCGAACCCAACACTCCTATGTAGACCGTGGGAGAAAAAAAAAAGGTAAAGGTGAGACAGATATTCCGGGAAGCAAATTTTGCGGCCGACTATCTGGCCTCCTTCGCTGCAGAAGGCCCATTGGGGTATCAGTATATCAATGACCCGCCGGCGGGTATCTGTCAATAGTTACAGCATGACCTTATCGGGGTGGCCCACTCTCGTTCTGTCCGTGCCGTGACTAGCTAGGCGTCTAGCCTCTTCCATTGTACCAAAAAAAAAAAAAAAAAACTATGCTAGCATATACAAAGAACAAAGTGCACGTCTTTTCCAATGGTTCGGACACTACAAATAATGTCACAAAAACGTTTTGTGTAGTGAGATTATGTGGAATTAGCAGAAGTTTCAGTTAAGAGGTCATAGTCAACTAAACTTGTGGTCACACAATTTATTGTCATACCTTGTCCAAAATACAAATCATGCACTTCCATTTTATATATCTATTCAATTATGATGAAAGTGAAAACATGGGAAATCAGGTTGGTCAAATAAGTCTTGTCGCTTGAGTCTGAACTTAATAAAATCTTAAACAACAGTAGTCAGCCATATCTAGAGGATGATCAGGTCACACTTACAGGGGCTGCATTTTTTACAGTACAGTTGGTTTTGTAGAGCCATCTCAAACTCAATATATTAACTTAAATGATTAAGACACCAAATATTAATATAGCTCAAGTTGGACAAGTGCATTTGCGAGGAGTGTGGACCATTGCATGTACATTTCAATGCACATTTCCTAATATTACAAGAAAGCTGCATACAATTTGAATGTAAAAAACATCATATTAGGTTATCAATAAATCACATTTCTACTGAAATATAAAGTCTATTAGTTCACATTTCTGTTTGTTTTTGCTATGACTACCAACTCCGTACAGGTATTTTAATAAGGTCAAGAACAGAATTCATCTTCATTGAAAGCAAAAGATTAAAAAACTCTGTATTACACTCAAAAATAAGCAAAGTTCTTGCTGCAAAAGAAACGTAAAAAAATGAACACCAACACTAAAGTCTATATGCGTCCATCTCAAGATATCGACACAATTGCAATCTTCACCGCTCATCGGACATCGATCTCTCGATCAGCAAAGCCTCATAAAGGTAACGCAACCACCTCCATTCGGTGGGCCCACGTCCTCCAGCCTCAGCTCCTGAGCAACCAAGGGCTCGAGTATCTCAATGACTTGGCTCATGGTGGGCCTTCCCTTCAGGTTCTGGCTGAGGCATTGGTAGGCTATATTCGCCACTTTCACGAGGATTTTTGTCGAGTACTGGCCCTCAATCCTTGGATCGAGTATCCTGAGGAGCTTCTTGGTGTGGCTGGGCCCACTCGATCAGGCTGGGCCGGCTCTTGTCCATGGCCCGCAGCCCGATGAGCATCTCAAGCAAGACAACCCCAAAGCCGTACACGTCACTCCTTGCCGTCACGTGACCTAAAAGAAAGAGCCATCATTCAAATGCTGGGCACTTGAAAAGAGAAAAACACAACTATTGTAAATCTTTCAAAACAAATAGATGACTGTTTTCATTTCCATAATAAAAACAACGGATCACCCTACTAAGACATCTATTAAGAAAAAATTACCGATTGTGTATGTTTCGACACTTGTGCTGTCCATCTTGAACAGACAGAATCTCACGTGGAAGTTTGATTTTATCTGTCCAGTTAGCAATTCTTGATCATGTTTGCTATAACCTAGTTCAAGAAATCCACTTTCTCGGGCAAATCGTGTACACAAAGTAGCATGTTGCTTGAGCAGATTTTAACAGATTATTACCATCACGGCATTGATTCGAAAAAAGTGTTCATTTACTAAATTGTCATGAAATATTGGGGAGCAGCATAAACAAAGGTACCCATAACACAGGTCGACGACACATGACTTTGATCTCCCGTGGGACCCATCCTTGCAAGTCCAAAATCATAAAGCTTTGCTTAAAATCCTGTGGATTTTCTCTCAAGTTTTAGCCATATAAGTCTAAAATTGGATTGGCATAGCAAAGGAACATCACCAAACAGAATTTTAATCCATCAGTAACATGAATTTAGATTATCATCCAAATTTTGGCTAAACACAGTTGTGGAATTTCGCATAAGACGAAGGTCAACTGACCTCATCAAGCAAAATGTTTCAAGTTTTTAAATTCCCGTATATGATGGGTTTCTCCACACCATGAAAAAAAAAAATAAAAA